CTTTTGTATATACATATATAGAGATAGATCTCCAGATCTCGCGCGTTTTTAATCGACAAATGGTCCGAAATTGCAAAGTGGGGTGGATACAGGGTAGGAGCTCTCCCGTTGCTATGGTGACCCCGGATGCCCGGGACCAGAGCTGCTAGTGGAATTACACAGTGCATACATTTATAATGTGTATATAAAACTCAGTTGAAAACGCACAGCCGTGTTTTACACGATTCTCGACTGAACAACGGTGCGTTTAATAATATATTTCTTTTTTTTTTTTTCTTTTTCACCTGTTAATTAAATCTTTCTAAATAATAGCAACGTAGATTTTAACACTCAGAATGTTAATTTTCCTTTTACGTATTGATTCTTCGTCAAACTTTAAAACTTCCTCAATATTTTGATCTTCGCATTTCTTCAAAAGATTTAATATTCAGTTTTACTTTATATAATTCTGTGATTGTAATTTTAGCAGCGATCAATGGGAAGCTTCTACCTTAGTCGCAAACCAGTGGTATTTCGTTTTTGAACACAAATTTCGACACGTTTTCTCTCTTAGCTTGCATTGGAAATCGTAGAATGGAAATCGAGACGAATGACGGAAAACAGCATGATATCGCGAAACATGGAATCTCAAATAGCTTTTAACGACATTAATTAAAAAACGTATTCGATGCTTATTTAACGGTTTATTTAAAAATTTTTTCCATAAAAATTTTTATTTTCTTGCGATCACGGATACTCTCGAGAAAAAAGATCGGTTCGCTTGGTCGTTTTCAACTATATTAAACGAAAGCATGTGTAAAAGATATTAATTGCATGATAGGATAGACACGCGTGAATTCATTTGAAAATTTATTCGATGAAATTGCTCGATATCTCTCGAAACGTTTCAATCAAACGTTGAATCTTTGGAAATTCATTGATCGATGCAGAGATTGAAAGGCAACTTGTGGAATTCACAAATGTCCAACGATAGGTGAACACGTGCCAATGTCGCGTATTTCCGTAAATACGTAGTATTTATATATTCGTGTAGCAGTATACATACAGCAGTCTCTCGTAGAGTATGTTAGTAGAATTGTCGATTGTTAGGTATTTCTATGATTAGGTGCATCCATATAGAGAGTTACAACTATTCTTTAGCGCTCGATTCTCTCTCCATGCGATGTAGCATTGGGTGTGCGCTTTCGTTTGATCTTGAATTTTATTTTCGATGTCGGTAATTATTATTTATAGCGCTTCGTGTTAATGAATATCGATTTTACGTAGCGCGGCTTCGATAAGAAGCGCGTCTAGACGGCCGTGTCGCGTGAAAATTTCCACCCACGAAACCGTATTGTCAATCAAAGTTTAACTTTCATCCGTGAACGAAAGCGATAACGACTCGATGCTGCACCGTTCGATCGATCTGATGAAAATTTCACAATTTTTCGAATTTCAAGTATATTATAGTTTCCGAATATAACGTATCTTTCGATCTTTTAACAATCTAGAATCTCTTTGATTTTTTAGCGACAATTTCCTCTATTCTCTCTCTCTCTTTCTCTCTCTCTATTAACTTCACGCATCTTTCCATCGTCGATCGAAAAAACGACAAAAACAAAAGATGGCACAGTGCCAATTCTCTCTCTCTTTCTCTCTCTCTATTAACTTCACGCATCTTTCCATCGTCGATCGAAAAAACGACAAAAAAAAAAGATGGAATCGTGCGAATATCGTTTCTATTTATTATATTCTCTCCCAAGTAAAAC